AATAATTCGACTTAATTCCTGAAAGCCGCATTAACAGCCTAAGTAAATAGTTGCCAAACGGAAGGCGAGCCATCTGTCGAACAGTGTTTGGAACTTTAAAGATTGCTTTCGCTCTCTCCAGCATTTCGGTGTTCTCACCCAGTTGAATCTTTGCGTCCACGCCAAAGGCAGTCGACAAAATGACTTCGAGGGTCAGCTTACTAAACCAGTCAAGCATGTCTACAATCTCACCTGTTAAGAAAAATTCACGGAAAAAAATGAAAAGTGAGTAAGAGTGCTTTTGACGCGTATCTTATGGCTAGAGAGTATCGAGTGCTGAAGCCGAATTTCTCAACACCAAATCATCCGAAAAGTAAGTAGTACGAAAATAACAATTCGCAGGGCGATGGAATGAGAAAAAGTGCAAAAAAAGTGTTTAACAGGATCAAATTGTCTAACAGGAAGCTGAATGCGACCAGTTCAATCCGAAAAGTGCAACGCCCTAGCTTGGAATGTCAGAGTTAATAGTCTCCTCTATTGACTTTGGCTGTAAACATCTCGCTCAGGGCGGTAGTGGTAAGATATGACGCAATCCTTGACCAGTCAGAGCGCGCACATCTTTGTAACCACCCGAGCAAGTACACCAAAAGAGAAAACTTTATCCAAAAAGAAAGTTCCACCGAATAGCTCCAAAGTGATTACCGGAGCATGAGGACCAATATCATTCGAATGTCCTGTAAAAAAAGCCTGGGCGCGTAGCTTGCAATGCATGATGGGTATTAACCTTTTTACACGGCTAACGCTGTTGAAGTTTCCTGGGCCTTATCAGTTGCAGACCGACAATTATTTTAAAATGACTTTCTATGCAATAATAACATATAATTTCTACGGTAAGATGACGTTTCGCAGTGATAAGGATTGCGTGACTAGCTTTCGTGACGTTAGGCCAGGCTTTGACGAATCTATTTGCTATCAAACAATATCGTAATCTCCTACCGTTTTGCGTTACTTAAGATATTCGATTTTTGCGAATAATTCTAGATTTTGTCTCAGTTAAACAGTTCATAATTGAGGAGAATTACAGTACAATTTCTGCAATACTCCATCTCTCACCTGAATCAGCAATTTTATCAAGTTTTTCCATTAGCGTATTACACGAAGTCTCGATTAGTGGCACCATCAATTTCATCTTCCCAGCACTAAATGTAGGAGTCAGGGTGTTACGGATTCTCTTCCATGTGTCATCTCTTGCATTCAAAACGTTTCTGCTGAACGCAGGAGTCGGCTTCATAAATTGAAAACGATTGCGAAAGTTTGGAAAATCCTTGATCATAATCTGTTTTAGTAACTCCGGATCTGCAACTACCAGTGAAGGT